TGTAGAAGAAGTTTGATTTGGTAATAATTTGGTAATAATTCGGAGATAATTTAGTAATTATCTCACTGTGTGTGCTCCCTATGTTACACCAGCTTGTGGTTAAAAGCAGGATTGGGTTTCACGGGAAACACCATTTTATTAGGTATTTAGGCGTAGGTCCTTGAGAGAGTGCAACAGAGTAGTGTACGGAAGGGCTGGGTTCAGGATCAGACTCGGTCTCTTGAGCCTCTCTCCAACACTGGATCGAGGCATCAGTAGACAAGGGGTTTGTATTTGGAGAAAACAAGGGCATGTCTTTGAACCAAACAACTTGATGGTATTAGACCTAATGTTGGATCCTGTTCAACAGACTTGAGGCTTCTTACTTCTGATTTCTGGAGAGAGCTAAGCACTGTTAGACAAAAGAGAACCAGTCTAAAAATCGTAATAAACTAGTAATAAAGTAATAAAAAAGAAGTGCTCAACAATGCCAATATTTAAAAATGTGTGCAAATAACCCTTTATCCTGGTAGTTTTTGAATGTTAAAAGAAAATACTAACACATTCTTAACATAAAAAGTTCTAAAAAGCTAATTCCAAATAGCATTTCTGTGAATGTGACTTAAAAATGCAGTAATACGATAACCTGCTGGTCTTTGCTTGTAGCTAGTATTTTGTTCTCTGTGTGTAGCACATGCAGCACAAAGGAGTCCTCCTTCATAAATAGGTTTCCTTAGCAGAGCACTTTACTGTATGTCTAATAAACTTTTTTTTTAAAGTACTAAGAATAGCCCTGCAATTACAGTTACATTAGGGCTATCGGTAATTTTTTCAAGAAAATTTGAATTTTTAGCTTGTATACAGACAGACCTGTCAGATAGGACCACTACCTCTTGCTCTTTTCTTCTAAAACAGTATTTCGAAGATTTCCCTGATCTTTTTGGTCACCATATGCTAGCTGTTTACACCCTTGTACCGTTGTAGTGGTTTAACTCTAGAAGAGAGTACCGAGAGAAAAAAATATCCAAGTGCCGATGCAATTTCCGAGTGAACAATGGAAAATAAACCTGTTTGGCTGATGTCAAAGGAGTTCTGTGGTTTAACCCTCATGCTGAAAATTTAACTGCAGTAGTTTGCAGCGGTAACTTGCACAAAAACTTGATTTGATGTCTTAGCAGCAGTAGCGGTGGTGTGCCCTCTGCTCTGGCAAGCTCTATGAGTTGCTGCTTTTCTAAAAGATTGTCTTGAAGCGGTGAAATCACTGTCAGTCAAAAGTTAGGTGGTCTTCACCTGTTAATCTTGTTTTCTCTGTGGTTGTTTATGGAGGTATTGTATTTTCCGTAAGTTTTACATTATCACGCTTTTAAGGCAGTTAGGGCTGTGATTGTGTACCCACCTGAGGTTTGCCTGGTACACTGAGGAATTTTTTCACAGCCAAGGCAAGTGCACAAATGTACGTACCTTTTGGACTTAGGGCAGCCATTCATGTCGTCGTTGGAGAAGAATTAGTGGGTGAGTGTAACGGTGAGAAAACACCAGCTCCAGGGACCTCATGCAGTCAGGATTTGCACTGAATTTGGGGAGAAACTGTGCCTATGGCCGGCTGCGGGGTTTGAACCTTGGAGGCGTTGCTGGTTCATAGGAGCGTGACTGTCCCATGTGTAGAATTTCCTGGTGCCTGTGGCCAAATCCTTCACTTAGTAAATCCTCTCACGAGGGAACTGGGACAGGATCATCAGTTTGTGTACATTTTGTCACAAATAGGTGTATGTAGCAGATACATGTTGTTTAATTAATTGGTAATTTCTTTGTAACTCTGGCAGGGCCGGGCCGGACGTCTCCCTACCTGAGAACTTCGGCAAAAATGAAGCCAATAGAAGAAAGTGTTGAAGATGATGTCTTTGAAGCACCATCTGCTGATAAGCTTGAACTGCAGCGGCTGCCTTAGTCAGATGTGTCCTCAGGCTGATCAGAGCTTGCACAAAGGTCCAGTGCAAGAGGAAGAAGCTGAATTTGGGAGGAATCTGAAAGCTAAAACCACATCTCCATGTTTGAATTTACCACAGCATATGTCAGTGGCTTCTAGATGGAAATGTCACATTTTATTTTACTTTGAAATAAAACAAAATAAATAAAAACTTGTATGAGTTTTATTTTTGTTTTCTGGACATGGGTGGTTGCTTTATTTCTACTTTGACTCTTGCTATCGTAAATTTAGTAAATTAACTAAATTTCTGAAATTTCTAAAGACTTATTTGGTGGAGAATATCCCCAGTTTCATGTCCATAACTTTATTAGAAGCCTGTATCTTAGTGGTTTTCTTAGATTTTGAAACTATGTTTGCAAAGCCATGTCGCCGTTACTTACTGTCATCATGGTGAGACTCTCATGTGAAATAGTACACACACACTTCTATGCCTTTTGGTAGGTATTTGCTGGCATTTCCCAACCTGACCGCTTGACTCTGCAATTTAGAATCACAGAATCACAGAATTGGTCAGGTTGGAAGA